GTCTATGTAATGGGCTCAAGGGGTTCACTGGGCTTCCCAGTGAATTCGGCTAGGCCTTGTAACAGAGGTTGGGCCGAACCCATGTGGCTGGTGTGTAGATCAATGCTTGGGTCCCACGCCATACAAAGAAGCCCAACTGGGCAGCAGTTTGAAAGACTATTGAGCACTTATTACTTAATGGGCCTAAAGCCATTTCGATCTGGGCTGATTTGATCAGTCAATTAAGGGGGCGGATCTGAGATTAGGATGTGCCCTAAAGCTAATCTAATCTGTAAATAAGATTAAGAAGAGTCCTAATCCAAATACAGATTTGGATAAGGGCAACTCCTGATATGATTAGAAGGTTTTCTTAATCATTAAGAAAGAGGAAGAAAAACCCTAATTTCGACATACTTGAATTCGGACCCTAGGAGTTTTTCAAAAAAGAAAACACTCTGCATTCTTGAGATAGGATCTTAGAAACCCTAGAGAGAAAAGTAGTAGTTCGCCATGTTCTTCTCTAGCATTCTCCTCCAATAGCAGTCGCCACCTTTTCTGCCAGTTCGAGTTCTCAGTTTGAGAAAATCAAGAAAGGTTATTGATTGTACGTGTGGTGCTCACAGTCTTCCATCGAGTTCTTCAGAAGAACCTGGTTCGTGGGACGAACACTGCTGGTTTGACTCCATCATCACTGTGTCATCTTTAGTCGGAGCTGATCTTGGTGTCTTCTTTGGGCATGAACACCAACTTTGGGAGATATTACTTCTCTGGATCAGGTATAATCACTCCATTCTCTTTTGGTTCAAATCTGGTCTAGTTTGGTTCAAGTAGAATCCTTGAATTTTGATTCTAAAATCAGGGAATACGATTCCTAATTGGAAGGAAGGTAGGAAATTTTTGAAATTCGCCCACCCATTCTGCAACAGTTTTGGTGTCTATAAGAGAAGCAAAGAAAAACTGGGCAATGAAACTACTAGGGCATTCCCTAAATGACATATGTTATTTGATTTCACTTTAACCCCACCCCATTTATAGCTCATCCCAAAATAAAGTCCTTCATGATCAAGAAAGATGTATGACTATGGCATCATATTTCTCAATCCTTGTAGCTAAGGGGAGCAAAAAAAAAAAAAAGGAACAAAAGATGAGAATTTGATAAATGCCCTATATGTTAACTAAAGCATCAAAAACCCATATCAATAAGAGCATTTGAGTCGTCTATCCTTCTGGTCTAAGCCGTATCCTAAGCCATGTTTCGTCTTATCTAATAAGACATCCTCAATCTTTGACAGATTAGCAACTGATGCAGCGTGAGGTGCTCGATAGAGATAGCTCTATGAGTACCCGGACGGTCGAGCCATCTTTGGACTCAATAAGACTCACATAAAAGAGATTGGCGTAGAGCCTCAACAGTAAAGAGAATTGAGAAAGAAATTCTTGTTGTTATTAAAGCTTGAAACAGACGAGTATATATAGCATGTCAAACACAATGGTAAACTTATAATGTAACTAGGTAACTCAGTAGCGAACTTGTAATATAACTAGGTGACTCAGCAAGTCTTCAGCATGTCTTCAACGTCCGCCGTTCGATGTCCATCATCCGACACCGGGTAGATTCCTCTAGGATAGGAACTCCCTTCTAAGACGGAGTTGGCGCCGGTTGGTTCGAATGGTTACAAGTTGGCGCTCCATCATTCACCCCCACTTGGAAAGAACTCGACCTCGAGTCATGATTGGGATATGCAAGTGTCGCCTCAGGCAAGTAATGATGTAGATCAGCAACATTAAACGTTTTGGAAATACCCATGTGATCTGGCAAGTCCACTACATAAGAATTGTCATTGATCTTACTTCCTAGGTTTTATCTTGCTATGCCTTCCAATGGGTATGCGCTCCTTCCTTAAGAATACCATGACTTCATTGTCGACTTCAAACACCTGATACCTTCTATGCCTGTCCGCTACAAGTTTGTACTTCTCATTAGCCCTTTGAAGTTTCTACTGTACTGACTGAATCTGACCTGCCAACTGTTCTACTGTAGTACTAAGACCTAGTATCCTGGGTAGCTTCACCAAATCCAAAGCATGGTTAGGTACTTTCATATAAACAATAGAGAATGGGGATCTACCTGTAAAGCTATGAACTGCATTGTTGTAGGCAAATTCTACTTGAGCTATGGCAAAGTTCCACTGCTTCGGCCTCTCTCTACAAATACTGCGGATCAGGTTGCCCAGAGTTCGATTCACCACTTCTGTTTGCCAATCAATCTGCGGATGAGCTGTACTGCTGAAATTTAATGATGTCAAATAGCCTCCACAAGGTCATCCAGAAGTGACTTAGGAACCTCGTGTCTCGGTCCGGCGTAATGGTCTTAGGCACCCCATGTAAATGAACAATCTCCCTGAAGAATAGTCTGGTTGTGGCTGTTGCATCTGCGGTCTTCTTACATGGGAGGAAGTGTGCCATCTTGGAAAACCGGTCAACAACTACAAACACGGAGTCCATGTTTTGTGGAGTCTTCGACAAACCTAACACGAAATCCATAGACAAGTCTTCCTAAATAGTAGTAGGAACTGGTAAAGGCAAGTAAAGACCAGTATTCTGGGCCTGTCCCTTAGCTGTCTGACATATATAACACCTACTCACGATAGTAGCCACATCTCTTCTCAATTTAGGCCAGTAGTAACGCCCCTTGATAGCCTCCATCGTCTTGTCCCTCCCAATCCTACTAAGCCACCACCATGCAAATCCCTAATGACTTTCTCGCGAAGGGATATGCAAGGAATACATAATTGGTCTGCCTTCATAAGAAATCCATCATGTACGTAGAAATCACCCGTTGGCTGCCTGTTCATACACTTCTCCCAAACTTGCTTGAAGTCTTCATCCTGAGCGTACAGATCTTTCAAACATTCAAATCCCACGATTTCGATACTAAGAGTCTTAATCAAGGCCACACGTCTGCTCAAAGCATCTGCCACGGTATTTTGTTGTCCGACCTTATACACAATTTTGTATGGGAATTTATCAACAAAAGCAGACCACCTAGCATGCAGATCACTCCTCAACTGTTTTTGCTTACTTAAATATTTAAGAGCTTGATGGTCGGTGTACAGGACAAACTCTTTAGCAATTAGATAATGTTTTCATGTCTTCAATGCCCTCACAATAGCATAAAACTCTTTATCATAAGTAGACCACTTCTTCCTGGCTTCACATAGCTTCTCATTAAAGAAAACAACTGGCCTCTTCTCTTGTGATAACACAACCCCAATGCCCACTCCACTAGCATCACACTCAACCTCAAATAATTTGTCAAAGCTTGGCAAAGCTAAGACAGGAGCGGTACATAACTTCTCTTTTATTAGAGCAAAACTTTGCTCCTATTCCTCTCCCCATTAGAACTTACCTTTCTTCAAACACTCAGTGATAGGAGCTACAATACTACTAAAGTATTTGATAAACCGCCTATAGAAAGTTGCTAACCCATGAAAATGCCTTACGTTGGTGACATTCGT